GTTTCGCATTACTCGAATAAATGAAAAAAGAATCAAAGTGGAGGAGGCGAACCACGAAGAATTTAACCACAGCCTTCCAAGAGTTGGTCAGTAAAACGATAGGGGCAGCACAAGTTTGGTGGTGGAGGGCGGTGCGGCTTTGATGACGTCATTGAACGTCATTTGGGTGAGGGGCATCTAGTCTACCAAGCATGACGTCATCCGAACCGCACCGCCCTCTAGCCACCGTGACCACTGCCTTTAAGCGTACGCTAATCATGTTGCCTATTCCCATTAATATTGAAGAATCATTTGAATACATTTGAAGATTATAAAAGACTTATTTTTGTGATGAGGATCCCATTTTGGAAACCTTATACCCAGATTCATTTCGTTGTGGTAGTGCTCTATTAACAACCTTTAAAAACGTGGAGAGAATCGGCAGCACATGTTAAGTGTTTTGTAAAATTGAAATTTCACAAAATTAGTACGCCCAAACCCTTCTCTCAAAATCTGAACAAAGTCCCCCTTTCCCTCTTTTCCTCAAGAATGACCCCTTCCTCTCCTACAAACACGACCGCTTGAAGTTCCACAAATCAGTACGCTACTCGCATTGTCCAACGGACGGTTGATCTTGATCTGGACTCCTTCAGCAACCAACGGCCTACCGAGATACCTTCTCTCTTTCTCATGAAATTTTCGTGTTTTTTTTGTAATTACATATATGTTGTGAGAAATGAATTTATTCACTCATGCTGTTTGTTCAAATCATCACCCGAAGAAGTTGTGTCAAATTGAAGTGACTAGTTTAGGGGATACAATGCACAATATAACTTAGAATCACACAAGTAACAATGCTGAAAGAGAAAGGCCTCAATAGTTCTTCGATGCTTAACATGCTTATCAATTCATATATAGTGCAAAAACCAGCAAACATTAAAAGTATTGGACAAATTGACGAACATAAAAAATATTGCACAAAGATGAAAATTCGAGGGCACTAACGTTCACTATTTCAGATCATGTGAAACTGCAAACGTGGGAGATACGGTTTCAAAAGATGTAGTAAGAACTATCTCAACAACCATCACAACTGTTCAAAAAATAATATGAAAATAAAGCAAAACCGAATACAAGTTAACATTGAGCACTATAATAAAGGAGGTTTCGATGATAGCTTACTGGAATACTGAACGCACCATGCATTCCATCTTCATTGGAAGCTGCAATAGCATTTCTACCTTCCCAGGCTTACACACCAACCCTCCAGAGCTAGTTTATGTTCAGTTAGTGATTTTATACTGTGCTACATATTCAGGAACAACACTACCATTTTGAAAGAACAGAGTACTTGGACAACCAATAAGTAAACACCCGGAAACCAAGTTGAGATGGCCCTGGGAACCATGCAGAAAGTTTAAAAAATGCCTCGAGTAGCTTCGTCCCCTCAAACCAACTAACAAAAGAAGCTCGACAGCAGAGTTCCGCCGTCACAAAGCAAGTTGCAATTCTTAAGTTCTTAGCTTAAAGTTGTCTTACTGTGACCAATCAGACCTTCACCAAAAAAAGAACTTAAGAACCCGGACAAAAATCGTGTCTTAATACGATGCAATTTGTAGACGCGTACTTCATTTTCAAAGTCGCGGCTAATGAAAGCTAGTGTGAAACTATAAAGACCACACCAATGAGCGACGAAGCTCTCCGAATAATGCTGAGAATTCGTTTTTAGAGCGGTCCCGTCATAGAACATATGTGAAGGTAGCTAAGAAGAAAATGAGCTTAGCCTTCAAAGCTTACAAATTAACACACTCGCAAAGACAGGTAGCTAAGAAGAAAATGAGCTTAGTATCAAAAGCTTACAAATTAACACTGCAAGACCCAGATTATATCAAAGAACATCTGGAAAGAAGTCGAACGCGAGACTGATGAGACAGCAATGCCCAACCCAACACAGAATCACTATCACAATAATCAACTGAAATAATGAGATTTTAGGCTTTCCAATGCTCAAATTATTACTACTTTTTACAGTTACTATCCTACTGCTAACCTATTAGTGAAGATCTGTTTATAAAAGAAACAAGACTTCTCGTCACGTCCACACTTCTTGGTGAGAGCGGTAATTAAACGGCACTGTTCTTTTTGATCCAATTTTTCACGAATTGGGAGCCTTCACACTGTGACTCTGTCTTGAACCAACTCCACACGTCTGGAATCTGAAAGAGACCAGATCAACCTCCTGGAAGCAATTAGGCAAAAATCAGTTGAAATGAAAAGCAGATGAAAACAAATTTCAACCCCTGCGTAGAAAGATGCAAGCGTCCACGGACAGAGACAAAGGATGAAATGAGACCTCGTCGTCGGTCGCGATGGTTCCAGCTGTCTACCCCAAACAAAGAAACTTGGGAAATCTGTCACACAAACCACTTTAGGCTCTTGATTCTCCTCCCAGAGGCGTTCGCATAACCGACAATATCCGTTGCGATATCCGGGTGCATTCCATGGTGCCGCTGTCCATCCTCCCTTCCTCCATGCAAAATACTCTGCATATGCTTGCCTATAAAAACAATTGCTTTAGATTACGTTTATGCGAAAATATATCAGCTTTTATCGCATTATTAGGAAAATGTAAACGGCTAAGCAGTTCTGTACAAACAAAACTGACCTGTCCGATTCTAATCGAATCAAATGCTCGGCCATTTCTTTTGGCGAATTATAATCGTCCATTGCAATGAATGAATGGGGCGGCATTGTGCTGAAGCAAGAGAAGCTCATTTAGTAGAAACGAAGTTGTGAAAAATGCGAACTTTTGAATTTCAGAACCGACTTACATCGTTTCAAAAATTTTCCTTCTCATCACTATTGGAATGCTTGGCACCGAAAGTTTGTCCCAGTATTTTTCCGTGACGTAGTCCTTACAAATCTGAAAAAGAGAGCAAAAAACTTCATCTGAATAGATTAGTGTTCCATAGGAACTTGGGAACTGATCAAAACACGGACATGTTTATGAGTGGGCACAAATCTATAAAAACGGAACTATTAATAGACCGAAAAAAAATTTAATTGAAATTGCTGAGCAAAGACGTCCCTTTGATCAGTGGTATTATTGATGCTCAACGTTTTGTCAATCAATCGTGGCCATAAAAAGCAAAAGAATCAGAATCTAAATCTCCGTGATGAAAAAGGGAACAAGCCATAACCTGCCAACCTCCTGGAATTAACCACACAACTCCAAAACCCAGACTACACTTTATAGCAGAAAAGCATTCGCTCAGCAGCTGCCGCGTTTGCAAAAAAAGACGAGTTCTAATCAATTTGAAGTAGGCTTCCATGATGGGTGACAAGTGTAGGTAACGCAATAGAGAAGAAGGGCTCCGTGTCCATTTCAACTGCGGGTCCCATCCCCTCACATGTTATGGACATCAGTAAAAGGAATGAAAACGGTACTTATGAAGCAGTGACTTGGACAAACCTTCAAACTGAATGTGTATGCAACTTCGAGCAATCTTATGGTTAGTAATAGATATTTAGTTAGGTGAAGCTTTATCGAAACTCCAAAAAAGCCAAGCTCGTCAATACAATATATCAAACAGGAGAGCAGAAAAACTGCTCTACTTTCGCCCTTGACTGTTCTCTTCCCACATTTCTGAGCAGACTGGTGAAATAGCCATCGCCACCCTTTATTGTGCAGAAGGAGTCAAACCCGTATATTAATGTAGTAAGTGCATGCGCAGAAAAATCCTAAATAATCGTCTGAAAAAAATGCAACTAGCCACATAAAAACGTACCGAATTCTCAAGGGCTAAATAGAATGGATAGTCGCTATAGATACCCAGGCAGTTCTCACCCAGCCGGCAGAGATCGACATTAGCTTTATCATGTGCGCATTTACCACCTACGGTAACATTTATGTACCTGAAAATGATTCCGTGGCATACTCTCAAAGTAACCCATATTCAAAAAAACTTACTTAGAAAGTTCTCTCAAAGCGAGTTCCCTCTTCGAAGAAGTATTGCAATTCGAAATAAATCCGAAAATACCGGATTTCTTCTTGGGAAATGAGTAATCAACGTGAAAATCCTGAAAACAAACTCTATACATGAATGATTCCTCAAACGAAAATTCTTGTATTATTCCCCGGCAGTTCTTCATAACGGATAAAGATGCAATAGCTTTCAATTAGCGGTTCTCGCTAGCAAATCATCCTGATGTCCACGTCAAAAACAGTTCCAACATTTTAACAAGGTGGTTCCACTATGATGAACTGGTAACGTTCCCCTGGATAGCATTTGCAATAAAATGTGGTGGACTAATGTTATTTCTCCAGCTTGTGGGTATTCCGTAATAACGTCTACGTTTTACCAGGGCTCGTTCGAGCGTCGATTTCTGATTGGGAGCTAATCGTAGGCAGCTCTTAACGACTTCGTTGTTTTTATTGATTAAAGGAAATCGGTAAAACATGCAAGCAGTACTATCTGGAAGTAGGTAAAAATTTTACCATCTTTTTCGAACGTGACCACCCTCGGCACCCATAAAATCAAAATAAGATGGCTTTGCAAGAGGGCATGGAGAGAAAAGAGACATGCCGTCGTTACGTGGGCATAAATGTCCTATAGGACGACTAAAGGGGGAAATAGTCCAGGAAAGGAAGAAAAAAGGCATTTTGCAAGGCAGGTGTCGCAAGTGCGATCGGCACAGTGTGTAATAGCAATCGAGATTCCGGCACCATACTAATCGCAAGCGCGAAGTCTGACACCTGCCTGAAATGCGCTTCAACTCCTCATTCGCCCTTTATCCCCCTCTCCCCCTGAAACGTCAAAATAAAAAAAAAACAAATTGAAGCCTTGCAAACTCACGGTGAACTTGAAACCTTTTTCTTCAGCCACCTTCGCAGGAAGAAAGTAAACACCGTATTTGTAAACAACATCTGATGACATTAGATATGTAGCTGTCCAGTTAAAAAAGTTCACTGAAAAAACATCAGTTTTACAAGCAACGCTTAAAGTTTGAGACTAGTTTACTATCACGCTCTCTAATTTACTTTAAAAACGGAGTGGACTGGCAAAAAAACTCTCCAGCTGCCCAAAAATTATGAACACTTTGATCCAGCTCAGGTAGCTATATCAAACCTTTCTGAGGACTGCTCATGGAAAAGCTGAATAATCAATCAATTAACACATATTACGTACATGGTACTGCATGTAGACCACTATTGAGTGGTGTTTCCATAGTCAAGAACACATATCTCTGATGAGGACGACGGCTTTCTGCTTCAGGGAGAGGTCCATCAGCAATGTCGACCGCATGAAATACGACCGCATCCGCCGCACTTATCAAGGATTTGTTGTAGGTTACAATGCAGCGATCCTAAAATATGTATGTCTTCCTTCAAAGGGGTACAAACTCAACACAACGAACTTCACCTAATAACATGAGCCCCGTTCCGTGTAATGAAGAGATTTGTTACCTTGCCTATTTTGTTCTCTGTCAAATGATTAGAAACACGGTAAAGTATTCTCGGCAAAAAGCAATGGCTCTTTCAATTACAGATTTTCCTGTGATGAACTCTCTGTATTTTAACTGTAGCGTCATAATGAACATACGGAAAATCCTTTGCAGTCGCCGAAATCAATTTTCTTCTCTTCTCGAAACACTTTTGTCCACATTAAAATCCGTTTAGGAGCTAGCTTATCGAACCTTTGCCCAATCCTGAACACAAAAGAGAAAATAAATGCTTCATCGAACTCATTGACTTTATAAGAGTTACCCGAGAAATTCCATGACAATTCATTGGATAGCAAATAGACCACAATAACTCAATGCTATCCTTCTAGAAAACTGACTTTCCGAGCCAAACTCCTCCCAACACTTCCACTGAACCCACAGCAGGCTTGCATCTGATTCACCTACCCCGGCTACATGATCAGCTACAAGGATTGAAAGCACAATTCGCTGGAATGGAATAACGAACAGTCAACAAGTGCTGGGTGCTAAAGGAGGTGGCACGTTTCACGGCTGTGGCAGACGACGGCTTAGGAACAGAGAAATCGGGTTCCAAATGCTAAAGCTCCATCTCACTCACAGTCCGGACCTTATCTGAGCCGGATGCAGCGATCCCCAATTCGGGAATGGGTCCCCAAAACTCTGCACCTCTGGACGCTTCCCTATTCCTGACATGAGAGTTGCGTCATCGACCAGAGTAGGGACCAGTTCTGGGGACACACCCCGAAATGAGCCTTATTGCACCCGGCACCTGGGTTTACGCGTAGTCATTCTCCCTGGTCTTCTCACCACCCGTCCCTCCTCGAGACACGCACTCCTTCGCCACTGACTGGCACAATAAGCCCTCGACCATGAGGGGACTACGTTTTTTTTGTTTGACTTTTTTTTTTTTTTTATTTTTGTAGTCTGACACCTACGATAGGAGGGGTTCATTTGGACCATTGTTATTATAAGCGTTTGTACAGTCTCTATTCCTTGGTTTGCCTTGTCGGGTCACTTAGAATCAGATACTTCATCTTTGACGTTCCACCTCCCACACACCCCTCCTATCGTAGGTATCAGTCTACAAAAACGAGACAGTTGAGCAGAATATTGAAAATTAACGCTTCTTTCAGATCAACTGACCTATCCTTGGAAACAGTCAAGTACAGATGTTTTTGTCGACGATGCACATCGACATGGCTACGATCATCATAAGCCACAAGACAGTACACAGCATAAAATACGAGACCACATCCAACAATAAGAATTGTGTTTCTGTACACAGCAGCCGGCCGAATTCTCATGAATATATCTAATTTCTGCGAATTATCTTTGAGTAGGCTAGTGAGTGACATTTCATTGCTAATCTTGTACTTAAATAATTTTGCGGAACGATACTACCGTTGTTGTAAACAATACGATGATATTCACGGATTTATTTCACAAAAAAAACATGTGTGACACCTTTTAGTGCATTCATAAAAAAACCATCAAAACCTTGCGCAGTTCACGGCTCATCGCCTTCTTCCTGCGCCCACTCGTCTCTCAGTTCAGTAGATACCGAAGCAAATATGTAATCCCATGTCCACGGTACGTCCTCATCTTTCACTTCCTCTTCTGTATACAGGAAACGTGACAACAGTGATATGTCTGCAAAAACCTTGTATTAGATGAGCAATCGACAACAGCTCTATCGTTCTGCGCATCTCTCGTATTTGAAAAAAAGCTAAAAATTTCACGAGATTTCAGCGAACGTAACATTTTCAGGGAAAGGATAAAGATACGACAGGAAGATATGCGCAACTACAAAAAAAATGGTCGATAGGAGTTTTGCACCACAGCTTCTAGCAAACGAACAAAAATCCCCGATAAGTTCAACACTGAAAAGCCTGGAGACCCTGGAATACCAGAAGACCAAAGCATTGGTAAACCAGTCCGGAAATATTCCAAGTGAAAGATGCAATTTTCGGGAAGGAGATAGAAGAAAGATTTCCTAATATCTTGGAAGAGGATTTATCACTTCGCTTGAAATTACAACAAAATCTTACCCAGGTCATCCAGTTTGGCCAACTGAGGATACTTCGAAGCAACGCGTCAATCTGCAGCATTCCATGAAGTTGAGAAGCAGTGAGGTGTGGAGCCCTAGCTACAGCATCAAAATCCGACGCAGTTACACCACCACGCATCTCTCGACGAGCTAACGAGTTCTGGGACAGACTGCGTTCGTCCATGAAGCTGCCTGAAATGAAGTACCTTTGACCTTACAACAGCTCACGTTAACTTTTCCTCCATACTTCTTGATTCTTAGCCTTTGTCAATTGTATTTAGATGAATCGCAGTGCGATGAGTAAGATCAACTCAGATTCCTCATAAATGCTATTCAAATATCTTGAAATAATGCAGGGATACATGGCGAAGCATACGACACACATGGCTATCCCCAAGCAAGCGGTGGCAACAGAAAAATGCGACTATTCTGAGTAAGGAGACGAAATTTAATGGAAACACTATGAATCATGATGAAATCAAAACCGAGCCAGCTGTCATATGCCCATGTGAACAAATTTTCAACGACTAGTTTTTCAAAAAAGGAATCAAAAAACGCATGGTGCCAGGTAGTCATCTCTCTTTTAGGACTGGTTGGATTAACGATCAGGAAAGGCGACAAAAATATGCTGCCCTTCAGTGAAGCCTTTTCTCACATAAACAGGTGCAACTATTGACTGACTCAAACACTGGCTCTCAAAAGATTTTCGATCTCTACATAAAAGCCTTGAAATAAAGCCGCGAGATATCGGGAATATAATCAAGAGCACTAATGAATGGATGGCATAGAAAATTGATTAAAATACATTATATACTGGAAGGGACCTAAATCACATGACCGAACCCAGTGTAGCGTGAATGCAATAATAGAAAAACAATAGGAAAATTGGAATAACAATCAAAATCTTGGAGAGGGAACTTACTTTGTCCATTACCAGCATTTACACTTGCTTCAGAATCTTCGCGTTTCCGGCCAGCACGAGATCCGGGGCGTCGAAATATCCCTAAAGATCATCTTTATCTCAGTTATGACATCGACATATATCACAGATTCTCCATTTCTCGTCAACAAAATCATAGCCTTATGACAAGATGAGAAATACCAGTAGAACTGTACATCATGTTTAGTTTTCCGTAGAGAAATAAAACATACATTCGGAAAAACTTGGACAAAGGTGTAAGTTCTAGTAATTGCAAAATGCACGAAATTCACCACAGTTTCACGAAGCAGCACGGAAAGAGTCTGCCAGCTGCACTAAGGTCGGATACAATTGTATTTTCAAAAAAAATCATAAGGCGATGTAGTGCAGGCCCATTCATACTGAGACTATGACTAGCCTTAATAGTCTTTAGCAGCCTTTAAGAAGCATGTAATGATAATTTTATGAAACATTTACAACAAAGGGGAAAGGAAACAACAAAACATTCCAAAGCACTACAGATTTAGTTTGACCCAGTGACCAGAATTTTCACCTTCCGAGACAATTACTCGCCAAAATCCGAAAAACTCTTAGAATACTCAAAACTGTAAATGCTGCGCTGTTGAAGACAACACGGTTGATCGCTGAACAGCAATAATGCTCCGTTTCTCCAGCTTCCTTTTGCAGCCTTTTGACTTAGTACTATCTTTAAACGTTACTGAACTGATTTGTCCGCCAAATTAAGAAATAATCCATCATTCTATTGGTTATAATTTGATTCCAAGAAACCCTTGGATAACTTCTCACTTGAGGGATCAGCAAGCTAGATCGTACAAAAATGAACCGTTGAAGTCTGACTAACCCATTTATACGGTCTTGTCACTATTCAAGCATACAAAAGGAATACGAAATAACATGCTATTTCGTTTCAGGGCTTCCCATGGAGTAGCGAAATCAGATCTCTCCCGATACTATCAGCAGCGCTCCGTCTCCTTATCATTCTTATGACAACGTCACCTCTACAATTACTTATTCACCTATTTATGCGTACAATAGGCGCTTTAGTGATGATAAAGCTGTTACACAAAAGAATTATTATTAGCAACAAAGAGGACAGCAGCCAGTTTCCACTGATTTATAAGAGATTTAAAAAGGATTAAATAAACAGTGACGTACCCACCGGACTGACTCTCCGTTTCTGCCCACTCCCGAAAACCATCGAGGGAAAATAGGAGGATTTTTGAGCCTGTCTCCTGCACACTATACTTTTGAAACTAAAATTCATATCTACTACCGGTGGCCGAAAAGTATAGGACGCTATATTTTTATGTTTATTCTACAAGATATGAAACAAACAACCAAACAAACTTTTATCGAGAAATAAAGCACAACTATATAATTACTCAGGAAAGGAGATGCTCGAAATTTGACCCTCTTGCTTTTACACATGCCTTAAGACGATCGACGACTGAATCGACAGTGCGCCGCCGCTAGGCGAAATCCGCCACGATCCGCCACCATCGACTTCTCCCCGCCTGTCCTGAAGCGCGCGTGCTCGGCCGTTCAGAGCGTCCACCGAGCTGTAGAAGCGTCCTTGGATTTTGCTTCCCAAGTATCCCCATACGGCGAAGTCCATCGGATTGAGATCTCGGCGAGGAAGAAGGCCACATTTCTTTGCCCCAGTAACCGGGAAAGTGCTCATCCAGAAGGGCTCTGGTGGATTTGGAGGCATGAACGACCACATCTGCTGAAGATGAAAGTCGTCGCGATAGCTGCTTGTGCCCGCAGGAACAGCACTTGTCATTCAAATACCACCTTCTTGCTAGACCTTCTGGGAGTTAATTTCAACGCTTCTGTCAAATAAAAAAAACCAAGACGGTCGCTTCTTTGCCCTCCGAACCGTCACTCCGGCCCAAGAACCTCACATTGGGAGAAAGGTTTTGTCGCCGACGCGGCCGTTTCGTAACCTGCTTCACTTTCGATCGCAACTCGGCCCCGCACGGTTTTGACCGGTTGGAAACAGGGACGAACGTAAAAGTCTCTCATCATCCAGATCACCTCGCACAAATAGCGGCGCACTGAAGCGCGCTTCTGCAAGTTTTTGCATTCTGGGCCATTCATTTATGTGCTGGCTGCTCCCGAAACGACAACATGGCCTCGGGAAGACGACGTACTCGTAAGCCTACAGCCCTTTCTTACACATTCTCTTGGCGCGAATCACGCTTATTCCCTGAGCTCGAGAAGCAAACGATTCAGGGCGACGTCCATCATTGCGAGTAAATCCGTCCTTCTTAATGCTCGCCACAGATCTCCCGATGTGCTCACAGTTCCTCCAGGCGTCCCCCACTTTTGCATCGCAGAGGTTCTTCCCCTCGCTACCGTTGAAAAGCTAGCGGAGATAATTTCGAACAGTGGAAAGAGGAAATCCCGAGCCGCTTAGCGATGTCGCAGCTGCGGAGCCCATCCTTGAGCAACTTCTCGATAATGGGTCGATGTGGTGAAATCTTCATAACGAAGCTTTGAATGATCAATGCACCAAATGGTTTGCAACACTACTTATATAGCTTACGTACTTTCGATGCATATCGAAAATTTGCGAAACTACTTCGTGGCAAGAAGCTAGCGAGCGCGCGATTCGGCGTCCTATACTTTTCGGCACCTGCCCCTCTATATCATCTAGTATGTAACCTTATACTCTAAACCTCGCTTTGTTGAACTGTTTTCGCGTCTCTTGTCTGACTCCTCTTACGTAAATGCTGCCAGCGTAAGTATTGTGTGGCATGAAGAAACAAATATGAGCATGATGACATAATCGAAATTGTGTACTCCGCCACGTCTAAGACACCCCCATCATCACCTATAACATCGTTCAAAAGGATTAAATAAACAGTGACGTACCCACCGGACTGACTCTCCGTTTCTGCCCACTCCCGAAAACCATCGAGGGAAAATAGGAGGATTTTTGAGCCTGTCTCCTGCACACTATACTTTTGAAACTAAAATTCATATCTACTACCGGTGGCCGAAAAGTATAGGACGCTATATTTTTATGTTTATTCTACAAGATATGAAACAAACAACCAAACAAACTTTTATCGAGAAATAAAGCACAACTATATAATTACTCAGGAAAGGAGATGCTCGAAATTTGACCCTCTTGCTTTTACACATGCCTTAAGACGATCGACGACTGAATCGACAGTGCGCCGCCGCTAGGCGAAATCCGCCACGATCCGCCACCATCGACTTCTCCCCGCCTGTCCTGAAGCGCGCGTGCTCGGCCGTTCAGAGCGTCCACCGAGCTGTAGAAGCGTCCTTGGATTTTGCTTCCCAAGTATCCCCATACGGCGAAGTCCATCGGATTGAGATCTCGGCGAGGAAGAAGGCCACATTTCTTTGCCCCAGTAACCGGGAAAGTGCTCATCCAGAAGGGCTCTGGTGGATTTGGAGGCATGAACGACCACATCTGCTGAAGATGAAAGTCGTCGCGATAGCTGCTTGTGCCCGCAGGAACAGCACTTGTCATTCAAATACCACCTTCTTGCTAGACCTTCTGGGAGTTAATTTCAACGCTTCTGTCAAATAAAAAAAACCAAGACGGTCGCTTCTTTGCCCTCCGAACCGTCACTCCGGCCCAAGAACCTCACATTGGGAGAAAGGTTTTGTCGCCGACGCGGCCGTTTCGTAACCTGCTTCACTTTCGATCGCAACTCGGCCCCGCACGGTTTTGACCGGTTGGAAACAGGGACGAACGTAAAAGTCTCTCATCATCCAGATCACCTCGCACAAATAGCGGCGCACTGAAGCGCGCTTCTGCAAGTTTTTGCATTCTGGGCCATTCATTTATGTGCTGGCTGCTCCCGAAACGACAACATGGCCTCGGGAAGACGACGTACTCGTAAGCCTACAGCCCTTTCTTACACATTCTCTTGGCGCGAATCACGCTTATTCCCTGAGCTCGAGAAGCAAACGATTCAGGGCGACGTCCATCATTGCGAGTAAATCCGTCCTTCTTAATGCTCGCCACAGATCTCCCGATGTGCTCACAGTTCCTCCAGGCGTCCCCCACTTTTGCATCGCAGAGGTTCTTCCCCTCGCTACCGTTGAAAAGCTAGCGGAGATAATTTCGAACAGTGGAAAGAGGAAATCCCGAGCCGCTTAGCGATGTCGCAGCTGCGGAGCCCATCCTTGAGCAACTTCTCGATAATGGGTCGATGTGGTGAAATCTTCATAACGAAGCTTTGAATGATCAATGCACCAAATGGTTTGCAACACTACTTATATAGCTTACGTACTTTCGATGCATATCGAAAATTTGCGAAACTACTTCGTGGCAAGAAGCTAGCGAGCGCGCGATTCGGCGTCCTATACTTTTCGGCACCTGCCCCTCTATATCATCTAGTATGTAACCTTATACTCTAAACCTCGCTTTGTTGAACTGTTTTCGCGTCTCTTGTCTGACTCCTCTTACGTAAATGCTGCCAGCGTAATATTTGTGTGGGCATGAGAGGAACAAATTATGAGCATGATGACAAAAATCGAAATTGTGTACTGCTCACGTCTAACATCACCATCATTCACCTATACAGTCTTTTTTAGACAACTCAATGTAACAGGATACACTTGAAAAGTACAACAGATAATAGTTTCAAGGGATGCGAAATTTTGCAAGTGCTGAAGTGCAATTTCCTCATGAGTTGCTCAGGAAATTTTTTTTCTTTTTAAACACACTTTCAACCACCTGTTCTTTGGGCGACATGAACGGCTATTGGCCAACACATCTTGGTGTTCCTGAACAGAAGTCTCATTTTAAGGTTAAACATAACCTCTCCAAAAAGATCGCACGGATCTAGCGTAGACTATGAATCCTCCTTTAAGCTGTCGATCCGACTGCTCTCATGCTGGCGCTCGTTCGCGCCTGTACGGTGATTTCACTGTGATCTCACACATTCAATTTTTGCCACACTGAAATTGGCTCATCCGTCCTGGAGTTCCTACCTCCTCCAAGGCTTAGTCCTAGAGTTCTCACCTCCTTCCTTAGAATTAGAAGCCGAGACAAGCGCCGTCCTCTAACATTGTGCGTCCCGCTCGCCTTCGTAACAGACCATAGAGTCAATAATACCGTAACCTGTCCAAAAATAGCCAATACGCCAGAACAAATCTAAACGTCTACGCTCATATCAGCGTGCTTGACCACCAGCAAATCAGGAGAACTACATTCACGACAAACTTATACCACGGGTCTGGATGAAGCTCCTACAAAATACTGCAGTCATTGGCTACTGAAAAATACACTTCCAGAGATACGGAATCACCTTGCCATTTGATTACTTTCATCTTCAAAGACAACTCACTTTCGGTCTGTTGAGTTATTGTACAAGCAAGCCTAGCCCTTTCTTGCATGCTGCAATGTTACAAGTTCTTTTGTCGTGCAAAGGTAACCATTGTCTTCGTCAACAGCTAAACGATTGCGTTCAAGAAATTTCCAGCACGACGACAATCGCTGAAGGAGTTTCAGCTCCAAGTGAAACAAGCGCTTAATATAATTAGCCCATTGTACACCCATACGCTAAGGTTCACACGTTATGGAAGGTGGACTTGAGTAGTTGTAAGCTGTTTTCAACGCCTTGCATACTACACACAACGTTTTTTGATAACACGCATGACACACTTAAAAGACGACAATATTACAAACGTAAGAGAATTTTATAAACGGAGAGAATTTTAAAAGCTAATTGTGAAAAACAGTGGGTTCGTAAATGTACCTGTAAGAGGACGTTTAAGTGCATCTGCAGCACCATCCCTCAAACCTTTGATCGGTGTTTCCTGTAATTAAATTAAGTGTACCGCACTTAATAGTGAGGGAGTCAGTTACCAGATACGTATCACAAATAAAACCCACCTTGAAAAATCCTCCGATACGATTTCTTTTACTAGTAGCAACCACGTCATCACCTGTTCGATCCTTTACTCGAATGTTGAGTTCGGAAGCATCTAGAATGATAACATACGATATCACCGAGCACCACCACTATAAAAGCCTCAAGGACTTCGAAGGAGCTACTCTTTCCCTCAAGGCAGGGACCGTTCCTCGGACCCAGCCTTCGGTTACTATTTCAGGTGAGTTGGTCGAACATCACAGAAAAGGTGCGTTCGCGGATAACACAGAGGTAAAACTCATTATAGAGATCACAAAAAGAAAAAAACGAAGACTTTAACAAAATAATAGAAGGGGAAACACAAATAAGGTGATTTGTTCGTACCGGCATCGTCGAAACCGTCATTAACGGGGTCATTCCTCAGCTCTTGTGGTGCTTTTCTTCTGCCCCCACGTGCGCTCAACCCTCGCGCTTTTGGCTTGCTATCGATCCCAAAATCCGACATTGGTACTGTAAAGCAGATATTAAGTGGTAGAAAAGCCTTTGAATGGCAGGATTAGTTTCCTCCTGTTGCGAAGTAGGCTACTTGCGAAATACTTAACTCTCGCCAAAATTGTTAAATTACAACGGAATTTCTCGACTCACACCAGCTTTCGAACAATCTGAGAACGCACCATTCTGTCGGGAGTAGACTGATGAAATGAAGGGTGAAATCCCTCGAATGATGTCATGATATTTCAGATAGTTGCGAGGAATCGAGGGCCGCCTTGACGCGTGCGTGTCACCAGCGACGCGAGCGGTCCGAAAGGCGGAGCCAAGGGCGTGTCCAGCGAATCGTGGACGAGGGCTGGCCCAGCGGACAAATCACAGACGGCGAGAGGCGGTCTGGGGTATATAAAGGGGCAATCGCGCGCGCGCGGCCAGACGACGCCTGGTGAGGCCGTGAGCTGGATGGTGGCGTGTGCTGCTGTGGCCACTCATCCTCCGATTTCGCTGGCAGTGCCCATGACATCTTGCGCACTGACCGTTGAGCAGCTCAAGCAACATCTCCTCGCCGCCATCGAAAATGTAAGCGAGGACCAGAGTTTTGTTCTCAAATTCAAGCTCTGTTGTGGATCTGGCTGGTCCGGTGGACGGCAGCTATTGGAAACATCATTACCCACCGTGACTAGTGCAATAATAAAGGCTTTCTATAACGTTTTACAAGTGATATTGCTTTTTGTTGTGTAGCTGTAGTTGTGTCTTTGGTTTTCTTTCACCATAGAGTGTGCAAGGTGGGTATCGTTCGATCTCAGCCTTGCTTTTTCAGGGAAAGTGTGAGGTTGCATGTGATGTTCTGTCGGAGCTCGAAAAGTCCTCTATCACCAAGGAAATTCTCGAGGTAATCGCGTAGGACTCCCCTCCCTTCCGTCCTCGTCGAGCCGTCGCCACCCTCGGCCCCGGCTCGGCCGGACTGAAGTCGGGGCGCCCGACCGCGACCTATGCGTCTCTTTCGTGCTCTCTCTTCCTGACTCTCGCTTATCGATCGCTTTCGTCAACGCCTCACCCCTCTGTGCGGGTTTGATGTGAGTGGGTCGGGATGCGTCACATATCTGCAGGCATGATTAATCCGGGGATTTAGAAACAAATAAACACTCACCTTTCTGGTTGGCGTTCGTTTCAACTGACAAATAGGATAGGTCTGAAATATAGTATACTATCTGCCGTGAATAAAGATAACGTTTAGACGGGAGGGGAGGCTTGTCCCGGTTTCTATGACGACTGAGTAAGCACCTCGTTATAAGCAGTTGTTATGGCGAGCGGAAATAGCCATGTGGGCATGGGAGTCAACCAACTTGGGGATTAAGCTTGTGGGTAACATCGGTGCAGGGTTTTTGCGCAGCCTTCATCTTTTCTGGTTTGATACTCTGTATTTCTTCTGTGCTTTTTTTTCTAACTGATGCATCGGAAACCTTTTGGCCTTTAGTCCACACGTGTCGGAGCCACAGTCAATGAGGTACGAAAGAAGACAGCAGATGTTTTTCCTGTTGTTTCCAAGCGATGTCGAGCTTTAATAAAGGCATGGCAGAAATTGGTAGAGGCGAGTATTTTTTTTCTCAAAAATAGGCTTTTCGAATAATTGTGAGTTGAGTGTGAGTGCATCGTTCAGGTCCGGCCAGCTTCGAGCACAACGTCCTCTGCCAATGGGACGCCGAACATGGTGTCACCTAGCATTGCCAAGTTGTCACGTAGAGTTACTCCGTGCACACCAGTAAACAGGCGGATCACGTCTACAGGTCTTGCAGGTGCGATATTCTACAACTTTTCTTTATTATCATTAAAATTACGTGTTACAGGAAGCGCAGCGAGTAGCGCAACAGTCTCACCTGAAAATGGAAGCTATGCTCCCAAAGAACTAACTTCAAGTAATGGAGTTCTACATAAGTCGCAGTCTGTGGGTTCCGATCTGGCGCATCGCGGAGACGATCCGCGAAATGGAAAGCGGAAACTTGATGATGGAGGCTGTGCGTCACACTATCTTGTAGTTTTTAGTGGTTGACCATGAGAAGTGTTCGCATATTCTGGAGGTTTTAGTGAGCGTAGCGAGTGCACCTTCGTCAGGAATGAAACGCACTAAGACCGCTATTGGTTCGTTGGCTTCTCCTGGCACCCCTACGGTTTCGGTACTTGCTGCACGAAAAGCAGTCCAGAGCACAAAGGACTTGGTTGGTTTTCGAGTCACATTCTTTCTGTGCCTTAAAACCTATATGATAATATGTTTAAATAAAGTTTTTGTATTCATACAAGTTGGAGTTTGCGGACCCGGTTCATCGGGAAGGGGAGGGGTCCTGGAGTGGGGTTCTATAATGACTGCTGTTAATGACTGCTGTTCGAGAGCACGGATTCTGTACTGTGATTATACGCGAATTGATGACTGTAACTTCTTACAGCGATATAAAATTGAATCAAATTAGAATGTGGCAGCAGCTATAGAGCGCTAGCAGTCTTCATGTGACGGACATGAAATACATTGTTATACATATATGGGTCCAAGAGAAGAGGGGCATGTGGTGCGACAGGTTTTGCTTGCTACACAAATTACAATTTTTGCAAGGGGAGGGAATCCGTGGGGTGCGTGAACCTTTCATCAAACTTTACTCCCCTCGGAGCTTCCCTCATCTGCGAAAAAGTTGATTAATTCATGCGATATGAACGGTCGCCATCATGCACCCTCCCCCTCTTTACTGGATGAGACCCTTATATATTGCCTTTAAAAGGTGCTGGTGCTAGGTTTCTTCGGCTTGTTTTAGCAAGTGCCGGAGCTTGTTTATTGATGCAATATCGGCTTGGTCCATAGATCGTTGATTCTCGGTGGAAAAATTGATAAGGCGGCAGAAAGTCGCCTCAGAGTGAATGCGATAGGGTCGCTCACAAAGAGACGTTCCGGAATGGGATGAATTAGATACGTTAAGGGTGTTGTGGACTATTAAAAATGTCAGTTTTTATGAGGGTAACTGGATTGTTGCTGTCTGCTAGTGTGAAGATGTAGGATGGATATTGGCTGGCCTTTTTTGTCTTAATAAAGTTGCTCATGCTAAGGTTTCAGCAACCTCTAAAGTTAAATTGTAGACTTGGTTGGATAAACGTTCTTCTGGCACAGTTAAAAGCACACCTTCAACTTCTCACAGATCTTGATATAGTGGGCACCGGCTGTTTAGCTTTGTTTCACGGTAGCTTTTTCTAGGTAGCTGAGCTTAGTCAGAACCTTCCTGAGCACATGAGCATTGACTCGTCAATTCGTGAACACGAAGAGCGAGTGAAACGCGAGCAACAAGATGAGGAGGTTAGATTTTTCCTTTTCTTGGAATCATAATCAGATGATTTGCAAGTGGTTACGATCAACCAACTCTTGTCAACCTTCTAAAGATTGCTTTGCTTCTAGTACGCAATGCAGTTGTATGGTGGGGCATCAACGAGCACTCCGTACTCACAACCTGAGAGAAAGAAGCGGAAATATGAACGTAAAATGAAGCCGCAAGAGTCAACGAGTGAATCTACTCCTGGTATGTGGTTTTATGTTCATGTGTTTTGTTAAGAGAGTTTTGTGGCTTCCACATCAGCGAACACTTTATGTAAGCGTATAGAAAACTAATACTCACCTAAATTTCTTTCGCGCTATGGAATTGGGATTAAGTGGTATTGAAGAGGGAGTGGCGTTTAGGGTGCAACAAAGCATCCTTAATAGATCAGGCGCTATTTTGCACAAAGACACCTCAGCACTTGTTACCCTAATAGTTGACGCAAGCTTTATGTCGCTTTCTCCGTATAGTCCTGTTAAAAGTCATTAACGCCGGGCTATGAATGGGGCCACGGGGTGATTGTAAAAGCCCCCAGAGCGAAACCTTGGAGAAGCGAGGAACGCTTGAGAAGGCGAAAAATGGCTGCATTGCGTGAGTTTATTGCTATCCTCTCAGTACTTGATTATCATTTTGAAGGCGTGGCTGTCGTTCGACTGCTGTTTTGTCGCATGGTTTCTTTTTCTTTGATTTTTATTGTTTTATAGTTAATCAATGCACTGCTATGTTGTTGCGAAGTAAGGAACCCTGGAGAACGGCGAATCTCTGAAACACCAGCGCGAATAATATTCCTCTTGATTTAGGCGTCAGATTAGTGACTATTACAAGTGCGACGATGTCGGTCAATGCTGACCGACAGGCAGTCTGTCACATGGGACGATGTCGGTCAATGGTGACCGACAGCTTGAAATTAAGCAAACTTAGATGGAACCCGCGACTTTTCCATTTCAATTTTACTTCAGTGTCCTAACTTACTACACTTGTCTGCCAATTATGATTGTTCTAATTCCTGAGTTTTATTCCAATTAGTTAATCAGTGGCAGAAACGCGCTGTCAAATTGAATCACAACCACAAAGTTCCCACCGTCAGCAAACTGGAAATCTCAATAAATTGGATCATATCAACCTTTACTAATTAGGTCATCGTAAGTAGCATGCCCGTTTTTAGCCTTAGGTTCCCATGATGGTCAAGTAGGCTCAGTCTTACTCATAGGCAGGAGAAAAGTACCTATCCAGTCCATCAACTGCCAAATATTTCACAAACAATTTTTTTGACCTTGAAATGACTCGTTTAAATCTCTTATTCGATCATGAAGAACAAGATAACAGTCAAACAAAAGCTCATTCCGTCAGGTACGCAAAGTTTTTTGCGTCATTCTTGAGTGAAAAATTCGTAGAAGATTTCAGATGTGATCAGGATACCAGTACCATCTAAAGGAAAGCTCATATTAATAATAAAAATGAAGAATGCGTGAAATTGCGCCTTCAGAACCTATTCTAACATGAGGTTTGAAAATGCCAGGCGATGTCACTGAAATTTCACCCAGCATTCAGTAGTAACAACTTTTCCTCATTTTCTAAACGTGTCTGGAGTACTCTAGTCAAAGAATTTTGTGCATTTAAAGATTTTACAGAGCTATAAAATAGGTTTTGCCCTGTGTTACCGGCGCTTTGCATGCAAAAAACGTCTCGTCCCATGCGCGCGACAAGGAAAAAATCGCTCGTCGTCAACGTGTTAAGCATTCGAGTCATTCCACCACTAGGCACAGTTCGCCTGATGATGCTGCGATTTCTCGATTCACGCATTCACGGCTATTCTGCCGCGAATTATCACGGTCGCAAAAATCGCAAATGCCCCATCTTGAACATTTGAAACACTGAATATGAAACAAGTGGAATCATTAGGCAGTCGTCATTCAGCACACGTCACTATCAAGCAGAAGTGGCGGCAGGATTGGAGAACACCTTGCAGTATTGATCGGGCACTTGTGATTTCCGTGATTCCGTCGCTTGAATCGTGAAAATTAGCGAGAACCTGCGACGGATCGCGGACTCTGACACCTGCCTTACATTGCAGCTTTGCAAAGTTTAAATCGATTGATACAGATCTTATTATTGCTCCGTATCACAAAACTGTAATCCACTGAAAATATCCTTGCTTCGATTGAAAGTAATAAATTGGATTCTAAATAATTCATTTTACTTTACGCACAAGAAAATCGACTGATAACCTGTATCAGTCACTGGAAGGCTATCCCGACTATAGTAAATACAGCAGTGCTATCGTGGATTGAAGTATAATATAGACGCTTCGATTGAAATAGACGGAACCACAGATGAGGTGAAACATCGTCCCGTATTCTCGCCGTTGTGATTTTCAAGGCAGGGGTGTCTGTTGAGTTACCCGTCCCTGGTGCCCATCATCTAGCAGTTCTTTTAGACGCAAATTCTTATATGAAATTATAGCGTTCACACTACATGTGAGCTTTGTCTTGTATTCGTGTGTGCTGAAGGAACGAGGACATCTTTGAAGAAAAAAAAAACTGAGATCAGTTGATTGAAAAAAATGTGACAAGGCAAAATTCATCTTTTTTCATGCACTTTTTTGTTTGAAACCACAGAAAGCGTGCAAGAAAGTGCGGTATTGATTTTTGCGTAGGTTTAGCCGGTGTGCCTTTATCAAAAGGAAGTAATCTTCCGTAATTGTAGTGATGAGGTTTCGTATTGCAATATTGCAAAATCGTATTGCAAGTTATTACACTTATACGTACACGATTTCATTGTAAAGATTGAAATAGAATGAATCCTAGAATCTGAAACGTTTTTTACTTCTTTACTATTATTTAAGTAGTATCGATTTTGGAAACTTTTTACAACTCCTGTCGGGGGAGGTGGCGGAGTGTTGGCACCTTTTGTTATCTTATCCGTAATATTTGTGCTATTTGGCACCATGGACATCAATTAATAGGTAAACGACTCATTTTTAAGTTTTTTTTTTGGTAAGCACCGGTCTATGTCCTACATCACACATATCCTGATCACATCCCATGCAATTTTCGGCAGGTAGTAATCCACTCCGAAACCCTTACACCTCTAGGCCTTGGCAAGGGACCATCCCTACTTTAGGATCATTTCCTTGGACAGCAGGCCAAAATTTGAAAGCACTTTAGGAGTACTTGAACACTACACCGATGCTTACCAGGAGGATATTTCAAATGAGTCGATAACGCGTCATGAAAACTGTTATCCTTACCCTCTGTATTGGAGAGCACAATGGAGTGCTCCTTTTGCACTCATCCGAAGGACAATTTTCACAAGTCACCTTGAGAAAGCATTGTGACCGACTGCATGAAGATATGGCTTTGGTCTGGTTATTACCAAAGCTGCCGGCGATTCATGTCATCCACAGACATGCACACATGCTTGACACACCCAATATTGAACAAGCGGAGGGTTAAAGGAATCTTCCACGGAAAGACTGCAAATTTCCTTGCGTAAGGTGTGGGGCATGGTCATTGAAGACCATGTGCAAAGTTCAGAGGCGAAAGATGATGAAACCCAAGAGAAACAGCCCTGGAAAGACCCATCTGTGGGACCGGATTGGACCAGTAGGCGGGACCGGAAGTGCTTCTGTGACGAAGTGCGTGGCAGGTGCGGATCCACGTGTCAGTTTATGGGAAGGGCCCAACATGAATCCTGTTCACGTTCACGCTTTTGACACGTTTGCACGTGTTGACTCCACGCCGCTAACAGTTGTGGAAGTTTTACAGCGGGAATTCAAAATTTTCATAGTCGAACTGGTTATCATAATTATTATCAAAACCATCGCCTATGTTCCGTTCTTTTTGCTATCTTCATGAAGCAAGGGGCCTAAGGTATCGTTTTTTTTTTGTAGGAATGGAGTAGCGATGTTTTTCCGTGGAAGACTCCTTTAAATGTAATCTTGAACTTCTCTGCGAATTGCACGCGGTCAATATTCTCGTAGTGGTCGTGAATGGTAGGAAAGATTATATGAAGTTGGATAAGAACAGTTTATGGTTTTCATTAGCAATATTCCCATATAAAGATATTTTCACGTGTTTTTCTTTTGTGGAGCGATTTCTATTGTTGCAGTAACATGGTGTATATATCAAACAAACCAACACGTATGTAATACTGCACAGCTCGTGAACTCCGTCTTTCTCACCTTTCTTACAACCTACTTATATTATGTATCTAATATCGTAGTATTATGCGAAACCAGTTTAAATGCATTCTGCATCGTAATTTTTCAGTGTCTTCTGTTTCTGGCCGTTTTATACTTCGTTTACCACGTGTGGCTCCAATCAAAGAGGAGTTAGAAGAAGATGTAAGTCAATGTAGTTATTGTTTTCTTTTTTCTCGGAGGTAAGGTTATGCGAATATTTTGTGAGGAAATATTTCTCCATCCTGCTGGCTTACATCTTCGTGTTCGGGCAACTAGAATACTCTTTAACTGGCCTTCTTTGGCTGCACGAATGTAACTTCGAGACACCTATGCAGTTCAGACAGCATGAGTTGAATTTTTCAAATTGAATGAATTTGGTCGAAATTTGGCTGTAGTGAGGTGGTTTTTTACGTATTTCTTCTGCAGTATGGCTCATGCAAATACTGAAATTCTGAATGTTGCTTTTCTAAAGTGTAAGCGGCTTTTGGACTTACCTGCATCTCAAAAACTGGTGCGCTCGCTCTTATTTTCTTTTCCACTCTAGGGAACTCAAGGGAAAAGGTTATGTATATTTTGTGATCGGTTATATCGTAAGCCGTTTGCCAGTAGGTGTTTTGCTTTATACTAGGGGTTTTTTAGGAATCGCAACAAATATCTCGTCCGCTGTCTTCCACGACATCTTCGCGTCCAGAGAGTGCTGCAGCCGGACCTTCCAGTGCCACTGAAAGTCGAAGGAAAGTAGATTGGCTGGCAATGTTGCCATCACTGGAAGAGTTACGAGCTAAGGCGGATGAAATGAAGGCACTGCGTGAACAATCGAAACAGGGATCACATCATCCGACGAAGGTTAATATGTACTCCATGGGCTTGATCACTATGTCATGAAACTTCGAGTCACACCGAGGTTTTATAGGCATACATTATCCACGTGAAAGACCGTGATGTTCTTGCTCTCCCATACTTGGATGTTCCGACAGTGCCCGATTTTATTCAATACAGGTGGTGTATTCTCTTTCATTTTCACTTGGTACTTCCTCAGCATTTCTTTTCAGGTATCCCAATCCTGCGCAATATTACGCAGAAGAGAATTTTATTTATGGCGCTCCGCGTGAGACCTGATCTACTAAGCATAAAAAACATAGGCTGTTTTCTTTCCAACCAACGGGCTTTTGCTATGACATTTCATCCTGCGTAGGGCTTCTATTTCGGAGTTGTTTTTGATTTTTTATTAATTTTGTTGTATAAATGTAAAAACTATGTGGGTGAATAATCAATATTTGCTCACTTCTTTTATGACGATTGGTTCGTTGAAGCTTTGCGGAATTTCGTAATTGTAACCGGCGTTGCCTTTTTCCTGTGATTCTAATTCTTATTTGTTCACTTGAGTTGCCCATTGTTGCCAGCGCTGTTGACTTGATAGATTTCTATTCTGATAAAAGTTTGATCTCTGTATGCGTGCTGCCATCATCCGGTACATTGTGGTTTCAGCGGCAATGGGCACTCTCTTCATTCGTTTCGCTTTGTGCGAATATATTGCTCATGTTTGGAAGAGTTTTAGAGGTTCAATGAAGACTTTTGAGCCATGTGGGACTGCGTGTAGGACGTGTTGTGTTTTTTGTGATGCGTCGCTCGTTCAATGTGAATAGCAGCATTTTTTAGCTGTGTATTTTTGAAACTTGGTTTTAGCGGTCGGCTCGATTGCTAGCTTGAGTGACTACATACAACCAGCGACCAGTGGTGATTATTTGACCGGTTGTTCATCGTGTTGCAACATCTCTTGAAGTGAAGTAGTGATTCTAGTTAATCGTATTTCTCCTTCTGCTTTCGAAAACCAGATCGCGTCCAGTTCAGACCACACTCCACAAGGACGACGGCTTCTACCAAATGTTAATGTTAAATGATTAGCCGGTTGGGGTTTTACTCTATCCAGTGTCACTATACAAGTAACAGTTACCAACCATCAGCTATTATTGAACCATTAGCAACCAGATTTACATGGAGCCCGACGTCACTTGTGGTGTGTGGTCTGCACTCTAAGCGCAAAGGTATTGAATTCCAGAGGTAGCGTGGTAGACATTAAATGTTTAGAGATTGTGACCTAAACATCGTAATCTGCCCGCATAGCTGATTGATGCAAAATGCATGCTAGCGTGGAACCATCAATCACTATCAGCGTCTTTGAGCAGGTGCAGTCCTGACTTTGGTAATCAAAGATCAGGCAAAATGACTACGGAGAAGTAATTGAAGAATTCAAGTAACGTTAATGAATGGCCTCAGTGTGGCTGCAGCCAGCTGCTGTAGTGAGTTAGGGTGTCGTAGCCTTGAAACTTCTGTTTGAGCTATCTACCGCGAGACTTGATCCTGCTACGGAGTACAGTACATACTCAAGGAATAGAGTGTACATTGATCAGAGGTAAATGGTTATAGAGGTCTTGATCACAATATTTCATGAAATTCCATTAACGTGCCCATTCACTCTTTTCTCGCGTAAACAGCCAGGGAGGTTCTGATGGTCAGAAATGTGAGTTCGTCATGCGTTGTGCTACTTTTGCGAGAAACTGATCATGGTGCAGTCAATCGTCCAGGTATTCTTCAGTAGTAGCAGTAGTCAACAACAACGCGTATGACGTGTCCGCCCCGTGCTCGTCCACGCTGATCATTGATACGCTAGACGGCTGTGACTTTGATCGTTGATCCGTGACCGAGTTTGGAACATCGCATTCCATTCATTACGTGTGTATTGGAGAGCTCCGGCCACCGCCCATCACAACTGTATAAAAAGCATTTATTTCGTCACTTGTTGACAAGTGGCCAAAAATTATGCAAGATTATTGTAAGTTCAGGAACAACAGATGCTCTACAGTAATCTGTTGTACTGTTGCTGGGTGTACACAGTATGCCTTATCCACGTCAAAAACGAATCAGTTTGGAAGCTGCCAAGACGATGACGGGATTTTAGAAGGTTCCAGGCAGAACAAAAAGTATCGGTATCGCAAGGGTACTATGTTAAGTGGAAACGATTGTTTGTGCCCTGATGCGTTTTGCAATTTATCCTTCACTGATTTCCAGTCAAAAACTTAATGAAAAAGCTGGCAATACAGTTGGAAAAATGTTGAGTATGTTGGAACAGTTCAGAAATTAGCTGAAGACATTCAGTCTCTTCTTCAAGTGTTAATTGTTTCCATAAATGTTTTCAGAGATATGACTACTAAAGAACATATCAAAGTGCGTAATGAGTTCGTGGGCACAGTGAACATCACGTCGAGGGAATGGTCGCGTCAGTGCGACCCCTCCGCCACACTTAACAAGGACTTTCATAGACCCTTTCTACATCGCCCGATTTGGAGTTGTTATAGTGTTATACAAACCTTCGCACATTTGGATGAGCCCCAACTATGTGTGGGAGTGAAATACGTGGCGCATCCCTAAGGGTTGGTCAACGCTCTTGCCTACGCGGAATCTAAGTACCATTAAACCTCTACAAAATCGGGACCTATACGATGCAAAAAAAAGCTCAAAATGATGAGTTAGCAGAGATCGCTGCGTCAACCGTGATTTGAACCCAGAATTTAGTCCCGGATCCGGGTTCGAGTCCCGGCAGTTACAAATGACTTTGTCGAGGTGCAGTGCAGGTGGGATGGACATGGCGATATTTTGAACACGGTAGGTGCGGAATCTATGTAAGTGCGGATACTGCTGCCAACTAGACTGAAAACGGTGTCGAAGAAATGGGCGCATTTTTACGAACCCCTTCAACGGTGGTTGCGGTACTACTCCTTTTAACCTTCGCACATCCGGTTGCATAGCAGAAATTAGCTCTAGATGCACGAGAGCGGGGCGCGGGGCAGGCTGCTGAAACGCGAATGCTCCGCGGTTAGAGTCTCAAATCAAATTTTGCACAGCGAGGCTTCTACTTCTATCTTTTCAGGACTCCTTAGTCTATGCCACATTGGCCAGGAAGTAGATAAGGGAAGGAGGTAGTGAATACAGGCAGTTGAGCACCGCAGCAGTTGGAAATATCGCCAAATCTACCCCTGTTTGACGGACTATAACTTTCTTCTTTACAACAATTCTCAGAAAAGTAAGGCAGATTCTGAATACACGAGACTTCTAGCCTTCTAAACTGTACACTACACTTTTTTTCAAATACGTTACCCCACGAGTTGGAGACGTCGAGCATCTGTCGAAGACATTAAAATTTACATAGGATATTTCATCCTTTGGAAGAAATTTTTTTGCTGCGATTTTTCGAAAATCGAAGAGGACTACTGGAAAGAAGAACATTTGCTCTTTCTGAGAGGTGCTGCAGCCTTTTCAAAGTCTTCTGGTTTGCAAGAAATATTCGTCGAGTATCTGGAGGACGGCTTCAGAGCCAGTCGAAAACCCTATTGCACCTTCGCCAATGCAAAGAACTTCTTTCAAAACCCTCAAATTGCTTCTGGGATATCATCTTGATGGATTAAATAGGAAATGATGCACTTGGTGCAGATCCATTCTGTTCTGGTATGCGCCATGCAGTAGCCCCACACGGAGTCAGTTGAAAGGTGCTTTGCCTACAAAACAGCTTGTTTATGCAAACCACAAGGTGTTGCGTTTCTAGTCTTGATATAGTATAGTGTGATCATTCCATCATTTGAGTCGCTTCCTTCTCAACCCTTTTCGATGGTTGTATTTGCGGCTGCAGCATGTGATGATGTCA